TGAGGATGATTCGGTAGAGAATGATCGAATGGGATCTTCAGCTGCTTCATAGCCGTCTCAAACTCTGGGGCTTTGTCGGCATAAGCAATCTTGATCTTCTTCAATCCTTTGAAGTGGTTTATTGCATTGACCACGTCCTTGGCAAACCTCTCTTTCGACGGATAGGCCCATATGACGCCTGTGTACCTGTCACGAATGACGAAGATCTCTCGATCAGTACTGATCCCTTGATCAAGGATGTTCCTCGTATCGACAAAATCAAAGGTAACCAGATCCCCAAAAGCTTTGAGCTTTCTCTTGAACGCTCCTCGATGCGTCTTGAAGTGTTTCATCTTTGCTCTGATGCATGACTCACAGTAGGGATTCTTGTAACGGTGTGTGAGTAGATGTTCGATTTTCCTGGCATCTGCTTTCAGAGTTCCTCTTCTCACCATTCTGCTTGCACCGTCAACAATATCCACCTCGATGTCATCTGCATCATCATCGTCAGCTTCTGGTTCACTTTCTCCGGCGACATCTGATCCTACCTCATCTTCTTCTCCAGGAGATGCCTTGAACTTCTTATTCCTCTTTCGTCTTTTGACTTTTGGAGGCTCAATCACAGGGAGGTCGTCATCATCACACATGACGCCTTGAGGATCCACATCACAGTTGATGAAAGCCGATTGGTAATCAGCTTCACCTTCTCCTAGGGTGAACCTTGCGATCATCTCCGCCCTTACATCGTCGGTGGGGTTACAGAAGTCACTGCCCTTGACAATATATGGGATGTTTCCCTCTACTTCTAACATGATTTTCTTGTAGTTCGGGGAAACCATGTACGGGTTGCCGCAGGCTGGCCATATGAATGTGTAACCTTCCTCCATGCATTTCTTTCCAACAGACAGTACTGAAGGAGACTCATCTAAGACGAATGGGGAGTAGGTAGAGTCAAATTCGTCGAAATGAATGTCGGCGACTCCCTTTGTGGATGTCACTCCATTTGCAGTATAGAATGACATTGATTGGTCGCTTTCTCTCACTTCCAGACCTAATTTCTTGGCTCTGCCTTTCGATATCAAATCATACCCACATCCTGTGTCCATGATGAACTTTGTTCTTGACCCTTTGGCTGGAATAGACAATGTCTTTGTGTCTGCATGATCTTTCTTTCCCTCGCATACATGAGGAATGACTTTATGATGGAAAACTAGGCCGTCATCTTCGTCAAAAGACATAGTGACCGCTAGGTCACCCTTTGGTCCAACTGGTATTCGGACCCTCTTGATCTCAGTGTAGGGGACCATCAATATGCCTCTTGCCTCTGCGACCTTTTCTTCAAATCTGATTTGTTCTTTCCTCGTGTAGCAGGTGAGCTCTTTCTCATCGTATCGTTTGATGTCTGGACGTAGAGGTTTCCTTTCTACTACCTTCCATTTGTTCCTGACTGAGTAGATCGCTTCGTTCAACATGATCTCACAAGTCTCTTCATCAAAGGATACTTTTGCACCTCCTTCTCTTGCCTTGGCGGATGCAGCAATCCCTTCATCTTCGGATTCGTCCATGAAGAGTTCACCGTCAATGGCTGGGGCTCCAGGCTTCGCCTTAGGCTTCGGTTTGGGTTTTGCCTTGGGCTTTGGCCTATCGTCTCCTGAGTCAGCTGGTGCAGATATCCCTTTCTTAGGAGAGGCTTTTGGGTCATGGTAGAACTTGCAATCCTTCCCTTTGTCACAAGTTCCTCGAATCCACATCCAACATACTGGCTTGTCATTCTTTCCGACAGAAGATCCTCTGGATGGTGATCTGGGTTTCTTGTGACTGAATGGGCAATCTTTCCCCATAGTGCAGTTACCTTTCACGAAGTATTTGCATGGTATCTTCTTCTTATCTGTACTCGGACTTCGGCTGCGATCCTTTCCATCACCTTTACCTTTCCCCTTTCCCTTTTTGTTCTTGTCTTCAGGATGCTTCTTGGGATTGGGTTTCGGCTTCACTGCAGCAGCGTCTTCTGAGACAACCTGTTCTTGTTGCCCTTTTGGTTTCTTCTTCGGATCAGCTGGTGCAGCTTTCAGTTTTGGAGCAGGTCCGCCTGGTTTGACATTCTGAAAGATATTGGCCACATTCTTCACTGCCTTCTCCTTTTCCAGGATCATCCTGTCTTCAGTTTGCCGTTCGATGTGCCTTCTGATCATATCACGTAGATGTTTGTATGTCTTCTTGGCATCATCGTCGTTCATGCTGTTGTAGGCGCTGATGTCGTATGCCATGAGGTTTGAGTTCCTGATCTTTCTCCATAGGAGATCCCGAAGAGTTTCGTCGCTCGGGACGTCAACGGGCTTCATTCCTGCCAGAATCTCATCCCAAGTGTGGAAGAACAACGATAAGTTCTTGTCTCCTTGATATTCTAGTTGGTAGAGGTGCATTGAAGTATATAAGACTTCCACATTTGATGTTGTCTTGAAATTCATAAGGATCAGGGCTAGGACCTCTCTTCCCTTTATGAGGCTTGATGTTCTCCCTTTTGCATTGATCCTCGTCCTCAACTTCATAGCTACACCTGAACCATCATCTTTCGCATCCATGACGACCTTGGTAAGAGCTAGGCCGAGTTTGGCATCGATTGAATGGAATCTTTGGTCTCCTGAGTCGACAAACTTGTCCGGATCAGGATCGTCCATGGCTTCTTTGATCCAGTCGATCCAGGGCTCTTGATCTGAATCATTGGCCGCAATGATGATCGATTGAATGAGATTTGCCTTCCATAGTCCAAGATCATTGATCCTGGGCCATGACGGAACGTTTATCTTTGATTCTTCCTTCCTCGATACTTTCATGATTGTAGAGGTTGCCGGTGCAAGATGAGATGAAGAGGATGCTTCTGCTTCTGAAATCTTGTCCCTCAATGATTTGTTCGCCTCGGATAGCTCAATTGATTTCTCCCTTTCCTCGGCGTACTCATTGTGGGTTTCGGCATACCATTCATACATCTCATCTCGGCTCTCTGTCATTTCATTGTACCCGTCCTTGTAGTGCTTCGCCTCCTCTTTTGCGTTCCGAATCTCATCTTCCTCGGACGCGTGGGTTGGTAACCCGCGGTCTCTGGAACTAGGACGCTTGCTGTACCGAGAGACTATGGGCGCCATTCGTGCTTCTGCTTTTAATTTCGCATTTTCCATAATGACATTCTTTGTCTCCTTCTGGCTTTCCAATAGTGCATTCTCCAGTTCTCTGATCTTCTGTTGAATTTCAGCACCATCATCGCCGAACATAGGAGCTCTCATCATATTCTCTCTTTTCAGCTGTGCGTTGGCTTCGGATAGAGCGAGGTTGGCGTCTTTCAACTGTTGTCGTTCACGGATGGAACCTTCTAGGACTTCGTTGTTGAATATTTCTCCTTTTGCGATAACCTCCTTTGCGACGTTTGCTTCGTATTCATGGTGGCTCGCCTTCATTTCTGCCATTTCTTTAGCAGAGACTTCAGTCTGGCATACAAATATCTCCATCCTCATGCCCACTTCCATCTCTTCTATCTCCGCTCTCGCGTTGAGTTCAGCTCCACGTGCCATAGCTAGTTGACCTCGTAGATGATCAATAACCATAGCTTCCTGATTGCTCTGATCTTGAGATGAGTGAACACTGTGTTGAAGACGTCTTTCCCTGACCTCACTGTTCCATTGTTCTTCTCTCTGGTGTTGGATCACCTCGTGCATGTTGACATTCTCATCCTGTAGCGCAATCATTCTAGCTTGTATCTGGTCAGCTATTCCGACGAAGGCTGTGTTCTCATCCTGAATGGCTTTTGATCTTCTATTGATCGCCAATGAAGATTCATTCTGTTCTTGGATGTGTCCAATTGCTGCTTGAAGCTCTTGGGACATTCTGTCCTTCGTTGCTTTCACAGATTCAAGCTCTGAATGTTCTTGATGAGTTTCTTGCGCAAGCTCTTGATATCTCATGTAGATATGTTCAGCTGTCGATTCCGCCAAGCGTAGCTTGTGTTCGAGCTCTTCAATTCTTATTGTCGCTCCTTCATCTTCCTGTGTCATCTCTTGTAGATGTTCCTGCATCTTCCTGTTGTAGTCAGACATTTGCCTGAACTCCACTTCAGCCTCGTGGTGTAGTCGTGAGTATCCGGCTTGGATGCATTCATATTCTTCATGAAGAAAATTGTATGCGTTTCTCGCCGATCTCAATTCTTCACCCAGCTGAATCTCTCTTCTTTGCTCTTTTGTTCCTCTATCATCGTCACGTCTCTTCTCTATACTCCTTCTTGGGGATCTCGCGGTAGACGTTATAGGCGATGTAGATCTCGTTGTAGCTCTCATCGATCTTCTTGGTCCTACGGGTGCAAGATCGGTCAGATTCCGAGCCGGTGGCACGGATCTTTCCGAGATTTGTGATCCAGTAGGCATAGTGATAACGTCAGCATTTGCTGATGAGTCAGTACCCATTGTAGAGTCTGGTGACGAAGTGGTGTTGGGACCACCAGGAGCAGCGAATGAATAGGGTTCGCTTCCATTTCCTCCTGAGCTTGACATTGCAGGTTTCTGTAATGACTAGTCTTGTTCTTGGTCTCGTGTAGCTCGTACGGCTATAAAGAGCGCGTACGGCTGATAACCTGCGAGTGGATCTTAATCAGCGAAGTTTGAAGCTATCACTGACGATCCATAAGCGGCGTAGCGTCGGAACGGAAACCGCACCTTTTCTAGTCGCTTGATCCTTGAGCCAAAGTACATATGGTACATATATATGTACAAGTTGCACTGTACGTGTCGCTGCACTTCCATTCGCAATATGTGTATTTATATATTTGTTGGCATTTGAAAATGAAGTTATAAACTAACGTAATTGATGTTGCGCTGGGATGGGGCGATGTCGTCTTCACGCGAGGGAAACGCCTTAATCTATTGATGGACGCTTGCGTGCACCTTGTGGAGTTTGTCATGGCCAGGAATCTTGCTGACGACGTGTCACCATGTTCATCGGCCCATACTATCACTGCAAACGCATTGTTTCTTCTTCAGGCGCCGCACCTGAATTTGTGGGCAGACCGCGATGTTTACAGTACAACTTTACAAACTTTACAGCAGCTGCCGCCATCTCATGTGGGAAGCCTGACGCCCACAGCTTCGAACAAAAGAACTTGTCAGCTGCGCCAACACTTTGGGGCAAACTGTTCAAGCCCTCAACGGTTGGGCGGACAAGTTGGACGCAACAAAATCATAAAAAATCTACCCAAAATTGGCCTTGCTGCATCAATGCTGCATCAATGCTCAGCAAATGTTCCCATACCACTTCTGCAGGTGGGAAGCAGAAAACATGAACACAAGGTGTCTGTGGCAAAGGAAGGTGTCAGTAGTATTCCTGTGCGAGTTGATAAATTTATATATGCGGCATTTGCAAACAACCATGACCAGCTGTGACTAGCTCGGACCCACAGTTCAACAGTTCAACACTAATACTTCCAAAAATGCCTTCTTCAAATCCCTCCATGGGCCTTGTGTTGAATCACAAAGTTTGCCTGGCCACTGTACCTGCCATTCGCAACGATCTTCCAAGCCAATAATGACGTTCTCTGTCGGTTTGCTTGTCAGTGAATCTGAGTTCCCCTTGTACTGTAAGATCCTCTCGTCCTGGCCTCTGGCTGAATCGCCTCAAGTCATCCTCCTACATTGTACAGAGCTGCGAGCTGCTTGGATGCTTCATGGCAAAGAAATGGCGCGCGATTGCTTTGGGATTCTTGGGTGAGGGGAAAGCTTACAGATTTGTTTCAACTGGGGACTAGTTCAAGCACAGACTTATCTGGCAGCAAAAGCTAAAGCTCCCTTCCTTCCTCCCTTGCTCCCATCCTTCCTTCAATCCTTCCTTTCTGTATTGCTGGATAGGGTTCTGACAAAAAAGTACTGAAACAGGAATCTTGAAGGCATTCTTCCCATCATCAAAACGAACAATTCCGACACCCAGCTAATCCGTCCTCGTAACACCCGAACTTGTGGCCATACTGCAAAGCACACTGCAGCTCGCAGACCTGGCGAAGGTACCATCTAAAACATGTCTTGCTGTACGCAATGGACAAGTTGGAACAACACGTCTTCTGAAGGTTGGAGGCCATTGCTATTAAATAGGTTGGAGGCCATTGCAACAACACACTGCTTCTTTCCTGTGCCTGGTCACATTGCTGGTGTGCAGACCGAGAGCCATAGTAGTGGTCATAGTCACCTGCCCAAACTATGGGGCAAAAGGTCGAAACAAATGACACAGACTTGTTCTTTTCTGGTTGTAAAAGAAAACCAATGAAGAAAAAAAATATGCAAAACGAATGTAAGGCCCCTCTTTATTTTTAAGGAGACCTGACCTTCCTTTTATGTCATCTCTTTGTCTTTTTGTTTTCTTCTGTATACATATAAATCACACGCGATAACAACTTCACCGCGGTAGCACCGACCGATTGTAGCCTCCGGCAAAAAGGATGGTCTCACCCCAGTTGCCGCGGCGAGAGCACATGCAGCAAGTCTCACCCACGACGCCATGCCCCCAACCCCAGTCATTGCCTGGGCAAGGATCCCTGTGAGGACCAATTGGTCAGCAAGGAAGCAGCCGTTTACTTTCAAGAACTGCAGCTCCTTAACATTTTCTTGAGGCCATCGCTACTACTGATTCTCCTTGCAGCTGAATCTCCACCATTCCAGCCTTGGGCGCCAGGCCAGCGCCCACGGGCCCGTCCAAAGGATCGCGGTCTGCTCTCCGTGCTCTTCGTCACTTGCGATCCTCGGAGTCCCCGGACAGCGCTGGGCACATCCGATCTGGGCTGTGTCAGGTTGCTGAGATTGGCTGGGTGCAAGGGCCTTAGATTGATCAAGACACCAGGCGAATAAAGTGGCAAGAAGCAGACTTCCCCCACAATTGAAGCAACCGAAATGTTCATGCACAATCTCGAAGCGTTACAGTGGTTTCAGAGTAGATGGCGCAATCCCCAAAAGGTGGTTTAGATGGACCCCAATATAAAACACATCTTGGGGGTTGTGCCATCTACTCGGAAACCACTGTACATCAATCAAAAAATAACAAAAAACGTGCCATTCAACCAGGGAATCGGTCTTCTCTCAAAAAATATTTGAGCTTTCGAGCACGTGTCCATCGTACGTGTCACAGCTTTGTAGTCACTCTACCCCCAGGATTCATGGTTTGTAACCAGAGATTTTGAGGAGGCACTCAGTTGCCTGTAAATAGCAAAGGACTTTTGGCGTTTCAGGCTTTCAGCATCGGTTTTGGCAATCGAATGACGGATAATTTATGATATTAGAACACTTTCACGTTAATCAACATGTACGGTTCAATATTGAACCCGAAAACCCAAAACCCTTAGTGCAAAACGCACGAAGCGCGCAGCGGAAACAAGCCTTTTCACGCAAG